TGTTTAAGGATAATAATAAAAAACATTGTTCATGATGAATTTAATTAAAGTTCAGAATCTTTAATTAAAACATTATTATTACATGTCATTCCCATTTAGAATGGAACGGTGCTATCCGTACTGTTAATATGGTGAGGTATTGGATGAGTGTATTTCGCATAATGAGATTGTGTGGAACAGGGACACAGACACAATATGAATTTTTAATAATTTCCGTTAAGCATAGAAATTCTAATTGAGTCTACCGATGGTCATATATAGAATGATCTTAATCCTGAGTTCTTAACAAACTCCTATTTATGGATTTGTGTCTTTTGATTTACTCGGTACGGATTCCGAGACCATGAAACATATTCCTTGTATTTTGGAGACATGATGAAATATGTAGCCGAAAATGTTATTATACGAGATGGAATCCATTCCTTCTTGAGAAAGAAATAGATAAATAATTCTCTTGAGTGTTGATTCGGTACTTGGATTAGTAAGAGCGCTCTGGTTCATGAATGTGTTTTATGAATCACTATCCATTAGAGAATCAATGGTACTCAAGGGTGAAGATATAATTGGAGAGGTTAACGGATTCTACCTGGCTCTAATTATGAATTCTTTATGGATGATTGATCTATATGCAATGACTATATCGAATTGACACTTCACAGTTTAGAAGTAACTAATGTCTATAATTTTGAGAGTTCAATTCAAAGTTTATAGTGGAGTAACTATTGGAATTAATAGAATTAATTAATTAATTAAAGTGTTTAATTAATTATTAATTTTATTGGAGCTCGAGATTATAGGTCCATTAGTCCCCGCGTTGTCTTTGTAATTCTACCAGACACAAAGGATAAAATGGGAATTTTAGAATTATGGAATTCTAAAATTAAATACTCAAAAAATAATTAATTGAGAATTAATTATTATTTAAATAATGTGATTATTTAAATTTGAATTTGAATCATGAACATAATTTAAATTTATCCTTTTAAACTTATTTGATAAGTTGTTCAATTTAGAATTCAAATTAATTTAAGTTTGACTTAAATTCAAATTTCAATTTCAATTAAAATTAGACTACAAGATAAATGATGATTTTCTCTTCCTTCCCTATTTGAGATTGGCGCCACACATAGGGTAAAAACCATAGCATGGCCGGCCACAATAGATAAGGTAGAGGAGAATTTTTTGTTCAAAATTCAAACAGGAGAGAGAGATTTGATTTCTTCTAGAAGTTGGACTTCTACTCTATGAATAAGATATGATGAAAAATTACGCGTGACAATTTTTTAACCAAACTTAGAGGGGCTGGCCAAATTTCCCATGATAGAGAGAAAGAAAATTTTTTCTCCAAAAAAATTTCACATCGTGCATGCGTTGGTATTTGTGAAAAATTTGAGTGTTTGAATTAACCCGTTTTAGTCTCGAGTGTGCCCACACACACGTCTACGTAGATTCAAGAAATTGACGTGAAAGACTTTAGTTTTCTAAACACAAGGCTTTAGAGCAAGGATCGTTCGTGGTCAAAGAACTCAAATGATCATCTGAGTCGGCTTCCAGGTATTTTTCTTAATTGAGTTCTTGATATATAAATTAATGTGATTAATTTATTCGTGCATAAATTAATATAATCTATAAAGTATCTCAAAAATTTTATGAAAATTTTTGTTATACTTGATCCGCTCTCCCGCCACGCGTCCGCATCCGAATTCAATTCGGTAACCAACAAAAAAATCCCAAGAAAATGCAATACTTGTAAGGCTTTTTTGTTTGGTACACTACCCCAAAAAAAAAAATTGTCCACTTATCATGACAAATATATGTATATAGGGCAGAAAGAGAAGAAAATATGATTAGTAGAGTGGTTTCCATTAAATATATTCAAAAGAGGAAAAAAAAACAATAATAAATATATATTGTAAGGTGACTGAACTACGTTTCCCAGCTTATTACGAGTGAGTTGAGCTTAAATTGTTGAACTTGTAAACCAAGAAAGATCCAACGCCAATGTAATTTGATCCCAATGCTTTTCCAGCCAAAGTGGGTTGAGAAAATGCCAATTGAGAGCGCCCAAGGACAAATCCCAAGCAGAAGCTTTTCCTGTGATGGAAGGAGAGAGACAAAGAAACAGAGATTCAAACAAAAACGCGAATGAGATATGCAAAATTGGTCACCTTTGACACATCACAGGATACTTCGCATTTTGAGTTTATAAAAAAAAAAAAAAAAAAAAGACTGACCCTACATTTTGAATGTTCTCAAGAGTATACTTTTGAATTTCAAATTTATGTCAATTTTGTACTTTCATAGAACTAATAGTTGATCAAACTTAGAAATTGACAAATTTAAGATTTGCAGGATAGATGATCTTGTTACAAAGACTGATTCATGTGTAATACTTAAAGAAACAAAGAAAAAGTTACGAAGAAAACATTTTCAAGCTAAGTTGCAAAGGGTAATTTGTCAATCAGTGTTTCATTATAAGTTTTAATATAAGTTACAAAGAGAAAATTCTTCTTTGACCTAGAAAAGCTAGAAATATGATATGGATTACAAATTTAAAGGTATAGTCTCAAAAATATCTAAAATAAAAGGATTACTTTGTTTAGTAAATTTAAAATACACGGTATAAAATGTAATATCCTAAGAGTATTATGGGGTTGTTCTTTTACATTTTTGAGTTAAGGTGACTTGAGTGATGATCTTGAGTTGAGTTTGAGTTATAACTTGAGTTGAAGTTGTAACTTGCGTTTGTGTTTGGATGTGCACATTTGAATTATAATTTGAATTGAGAATTTTTTTGAGTTTGTATTTAGATGGGTCAAATACCACAGATTGTAGACACTGCTTCCTTCTCACAAAAGAATTGTGCCCCTGAGATCTTTTTATCTGAATGTTTACTATTGATATCAGAAGGAGCTTTTTTCACAACCTTCCTCTGAAAACTAAGGGCATGTTCTTTTGGAGTGTGATTTGAGTGTAGTTTTTGAGTTGAATTTAAGTTATAACTTAAGTTGAAGTTGTAACTTGAGTTTGTGTTTGGTTGAGTACATTTGAGTTATGGTTTGAGATAAGAATCTTTTTTTGAGTTTGTGTTTGAGTGAGTCAAAACTTAAATTTGTATTTAGATAGTATTTTAATAAAAACTCAATGCTGATAGAAAATTTTAATAGGGTATATAGATGAGATTTTATTCGTCTTTTCGTTGTCAACGCATAGAAAAAAAACCATCTCAATCAGGATTAAAACGAAAAAGTTATAGCATTTTTAAGAATAAAAAAAATGTTATTCATTAATTTGAGTTCGAGTTTCTAAACTCAAGTTGAATGAGACACTTAAACTCGAATTTTAGTCCCAAACTCGAGTTTAAACTCAAATTCAAACTTAAAAAAATATAAATTTTAATAAAATTGAAACTCAAGTTTTTTTTTTTTTTTTTAGTTTTTTAGGCAGGAACACACTCAAAATCCCCAAATTGAAGAGTTGTTGGTCTAGCTGTTTCTTCTTTTGTGTCAGTTGCATCAGTGCTTTCCTCCGTTGAAATTGAGAGAACTTTGAATGCCTTCTCTATTGGTTCAGCAACTAGGCAGCCAGCAATTCTTTGGGATAAAATGAACAGAAACACCTGCAAGTTCCAAGTGATGCCGAGAGAAAATGTCAAAAAATGAAGCTAGTATTTCTTAGGAGCAATTGGAGCTCACTGAATTGTTCGATTCATTAAAAACTTCAGAGTACCGTGACATGAGGTTAAATTCGGCAAACAAATCACCAAAGAATTCTTTAAAAGAAGAAGGAAAAAAAAAAGAGTATCCAGGGAGAAGTCAAGCACATAATCGTGAATTTCACCGAGCTATTTCATCAGCATTTCTTATCTTCAAGGGGCGGAGTGAGAAAGGACTGGTCGAAGAGAGAAAAAGAACTGATTCCAGCGAAGGAGAGAGAGAGAGTGGGTGGAGGGGGGAGAGAGAGAGAATACGGATAAGAGAGGGAGACAAAAAGAACACATTAGAGTTGGGAGTTTTTAGTTACATTTTTATTATAGTTAAAATGTATGTTTATTTTACTGATTTAAATTTAAAATTTAAAAATTATAATAAATTTTTTTTAAAAATAATAATATTTAATAAATTCTTATATAAATAAATTAATAAAGTGAAATACCTAATTTTTTTAATTTGTGATAAAAAAATTTTATTTAAGTAAAAATGGTAGTGTTTTTTAAAGGGCTATACTTGAGAGGGCCGGTGATTATTCTCTCCGGGAAAAACCTCTAAAGCCCTTGTTTGCTACGGCCTAACCAGTCATCTGTAGTTGGAAATCCCGTCAGTTTTTCTTAATCGCTCTCTTTAAGGGTTTGATGTTTGTCTCCTTTTTGTGATCGTAGCATGGAGGGATTGCATAAAGTGATCCGCAACTTTTCCAAAGACCCAAAATCGGCCTCTTCTTCTTCTTCAACCTTTGATATTCCCCGTGTCAACGAAGGAATCTCCGCCGCTTTATCTTCCCCAGATCAGTCTCGCCTCTTGGTCTCCAGACCTCCCAGGTAACGCACTTTTTTTTCTTTTTTTTTTTCCCTAGTCTGAACTCTACAAAGTATTGAAAACCTATTTGCCACTTTGCTTGTTCCAGTGAAATTGAACTGTAATTGTTGCCTATTCTTCTTTCTCTGAAATGGGTATTTATTACTATTGTTATTATTATTGAATGTGTAATTGCAGAAATGTTGTTTCACTGTGGACATGCTCAAAGCTGTGTGCAATTTGCTTTGTGGTGGGAGTGGTGGTTGGTTACACTCTCAAGCGACGTGTCAGACGCTGGGCTTCCAGACTCCTCAAGCGCTTGAAAGATGATTGACCCTTTTTGGTCCTCTCCTCCTTATGTTGTTTTAATTTCAAGTTTGCTGTTAACAGGAAGAACCAAAAAGAAAATGGTACTTTAATTGTGAGCGTTTAACTTCAGCAAAAATGCGATTTGGATATAAATTTCAAAACAATTGGTCTCGTCGTTTCATTAGCTGTTATTACTTTTCTTACTTTGTTTCCTTAGCTGTTATTACTTTTCTTACTTTGTTTCCTGGTTATATGCTGGCTGTTTGTTACATTTGAATTTTATCTATCTCTCTCTCTCTCTCTCTCTCTCTCTATATATATATATATATATATATATATATACACACACACACACAAACACACACACACACACACTAACTATGAGATTATCAACCTTCATGATTTGAGCTTTGGATCTTAAACCAAATTGGCTGTTCAGTCATTTGGTTTAAATTAGTGTTGTTCATATATATATATATATATAATATTGTTTATTGTCCAAAATTTGATCTGGTTTTCCCATATTTATCCTATGCGTACTTGTTTTAGCACCCCGAATGAATAACTGTGATTTGCAGGGTGTGAATCTGAACAAAAGATTACCATGTTTACTGTGAATCTGAACAAAAGATTACCATGTTTACTTGCTTTTCCTCATGAAGAACATGGAGGAAATGCAACAGCTGTTAATTCTTTTGAATTTTCTGTTGGATGCATATTAAATTGTGTTATACAAGTTGAACCAGATATATATTCTATTTATGTTGTTGTTATTCATTGTTATATTACTTGAGAATAATGTGCAAGTTGTGACACGTGCAAGTTGTGACGCGTGCAAGTTGCAGATGCAGGTATTCCTCTGATCTTTGTGAAGATTAGGACAAAGGAAAATCTATAATTTGCTATTTTTTCTTTCTACACCCTTGTTTATTGTATGTAATTGTAGTTCAACATCATTTGTATACTTGTAACAAAAATTGGATTTACATTTTTTTACTACCATTATACAAATATAAATTTTCCTCTATGAATCATGTGAATGATTTCAAATAAATTAGTAAGCTTGGTTTTGATGGGGTCCTATAGCTTCAGAAATACTCCTTGTGGAATTCAAAGCGTGTGGATGTCTTGTGACTCATCTCGTGTGATAACCTCTTCAGCTCCTTTGCCAACACTGGCATTCCACAGTAGAAGACTCCTGCAGTAGATAAGAAAAACTTTCGTTACATCAATTTATTGTTGACTTAATTTGCGATGTGAATTTATGCATGATCAATGTTTTTCTTCCCTAATGAGTTTAAATGTAATACTTTGTACAAAATCCGTGAAACCCCAAAGAGATTTCTATGTAATTTTCTAGCAATCAGTTTCCTCTTTTCTGGTCAAGGTTGGCACTTTGAGATGCAAGATGTTTTAATAATATGCTATCATCCAGTTCTTCATTTTTGTTACATTCTTGATTCCAATATTAAATTGTGTAATCTTAATCAAAATTTCTTGGGCGTTTTCTTCTCTTTTCAATTCATGACACAAGTACTGTCAACACGCAGTTCTTTATAAGACTTTGATTTGGTGCAACCAACTCTAGTTAGTTGAAATGTTGAGGTTTTTGGCAATTTGTGTAGTCAAGTTGTATTACTTGTATCTCTTCTTTAGCAGCAGGTGATTGGTTGTCGAAACAGATTGCAGCTAGCTCTACCAAGTAGCCCTAATGACAACTCAAGTTCACACTTTTAGCTGAAACAGGCACGCCTGAGTCAGAATGATATTGAGTTTCTTTACCTATTGTTGAATACGGATGCTTTGATGCTATTTTGGTAAACACTTCTTTCCAATTTGGTCTTGCGAAGTGAGTCCTGACCTACAAGAAAGCAATGTCGAAAGTCATAATTGTTTCATCAGCATCAACTACTCTCCTCCTACTATTGGTTACTAACAGAGACTTGTTATAGGGCTAAAGCAATGTGAGTATATTCAAAGCTTCAATTGTGATGAGGAAGCATACTCGGGTGCCGGAGAGGATGTCAAAACCATGCTTTGCGTGGTTGAGAGCTTGGACCATGGTGATTAGCGTCGACCGCGCATCGCCCTCCTCATAAACACTAGTGAGGTAGTTGTGCATCTCAATCTGACCCTGAGATTGAGTTTATGTAACAAGGTTTAAGGTAAAACAAGTTAGTGACTTGCCAGTTGCCACCTTACTCACCAAGACTAGAAGTACATATAAGTTGTAACATGATGCTTAACGATTATAAGTAAATTACTTTATGATCCATTTCTGCAACATCATCCATTACTCCTTTGAACCATTCAAAGGAGCCAGGTTCTCTAGTTACCCAATAGAAATGGGCATTTGTAAGCCTCTGTGATTTCTTCTTTCCACCAGGTGTTAAACTCGAAGACGTAAAACTATTCATGCTGTCGTCTGATCTACTGGTTTCTGTGTTTGAATCCTAGGCCATAGATACATTACACACATTTTAGTTGAGTAGAGTCACCAGAGAAGATAAAGAAACACGGTACTAAGCGAATATAGATGACACATACCAGTTGTTCTTCTGTTCTTGTGGAGTTGAGAAGATCTCTGAGGATGCTTATAAAAGGTGTAGCTCCGATCCCCAGCCCCACCAGAAGCAGGACATCATAGTTTTGGTAGTCTTGTGCTGGTGCACCATATGGACCATCAACAAACAATTTGGGTTGGCTGCATTGTATGTTCTTGATTAGTAAATCTGCAGATTCTGAAGTTTAGAAGGTAGAAGATAAAGTTACTTAGGGTCAAAGAATACCTTCTCTGATATGGAATCCCAACCTGAGTAAAGTGAGCTCTACCAATTACAGATGATGGGTCATCGCCTTCGGTAACAACTCGTTGTAATTCTTGTGTCCAGTCCCCTACTATGCGGATGTGAACACTCAGATAGTCGTCTCCGGGTGCAGAGGTTATTGAAAACGGGTGCCTATTAGGAAAAAAAGGGCCGGTGGTTGATTCAATCATGTTTGAAGCACGGTTCCTTTTTATGAAAATCGTTAGGCTGAAAAAGGAGGATGAATTGCTGTTCTGATCAGACTCACCATTCAAATTGAGAGATTGTTGGGCATTGTAGAAATATGTACTGCCCACTTTTGTATCTTAACCCAGGTGGCTTGGACATTATTAAGTTGAAAACATTCCCTGGTAGCACTGAAACCTGTTGACAATATCTAAGTTCCATTACTGGGCATTGTTAACGAAATGACAAAGTGAAGAAAAGATTCGAGTACAATTTTCACCTTCAATATTTTCACCGAATAATGTTCTGATCTACATGTTCTCAGGCTCCTTTCAGCTATATACAGTACCAATGGAACAGAGATGTACATCCATGTCTGCAAAATTAACAAGGCGTTCAACTTCCACTACTTTTTTTCGTAATTTTCCTCGTTAACAAATAAATTGTTCAGAATTTCTTACCGTTTTCTGATACCACTTGTGGGCCAAGTACAAGTAACTTCCATGAATGAACAGCAAAATGTAGACCAAACCAAGCAAGTGATGAGAGTACCAGAAGGCATTGAAACCAGTAAGTTTGTTGAAAGGGGCAGGCAGTCTGACCACGTTTCTGCGAAATCGACGAGCTGCTAGTGTGAACGAGATGGTCATGAAGACCACCATCATAATTCCAGTCACCCCCTCCGTACCACTCAAGAGGTCTGTATAAGTTGGCCTTTTGCCTCCAAAATCAGAGGAAATCACGGGGAACCTCTCCGGCGATGCATTTACTAGTCTTGGAAAGTCGCATGACAGGTGGATGCCCGCATGAAGAGCGATTCCTATGGCTATAGCACAAGCAATCATCTGCAGTGAAGGTGTCAAAGAGATCACTTGCAGCTCCGGAACAAAAATATATCTCAATCAACATGGTTAATAGCGAAATTTCAATCCGAATCAAACGTTGATAACCTAATCAAATGGATAACTTGATATTTGTAGCATTGGTAATCTATACATTCTTGTGTTTGCTGACTAGTTTAGTATAATTAACACGCCCATGGTATCTAAAGCACTATATACCAAGTGGTCATTCACTTGTGTCAGATAACACAGTGTAAGGACTAAATAAATGATCCCTCACTTTAAAATTTGGGTGCCGGTGTCTCATTAGATTTTGTATATTTAAAGAAGTTTAAAATTGATTTGACAGTTGTAAATAAATCAAAGGTAAGGAATAAAGACCAACTAATAACCGAATAAGTATACTTAATGAGTAGGTCAAACTTAACACTTATTATGAGATACCAGTACCGTTAAGAGATGACAGTCATATATTACGGAGTCTCAAGTACTACTATGTGATATAAGTAAACAGTCATACACTACGTAGTCTCAAAGTACTACTATATGATATAAGTAAACGAGTGGCATTCACGATGCTTTTGACACTCCCGGTGCTCTCTAATACCCTTTTCTTTACCTTGTGAAAGTTAATGTTGTCGTCAAAGGGGACAAAGGACCTAGCTCTAGTGGAGCGAAGCCATGTCAAAGTGTTCCGACAGACGGGCAAGAGGATGAGAGCCATGTTTAGCTTGAGAGTCTCTCCAGCGCCTTTGGCGATTGGCAGGCAATAGCCCATAACTTGAAACGCCTTCTTGTGGCTGTACTGATAGAATTTCCAGCTGAAGAGGCACACAATGGCAGTGGCCCACAACAACAAAATCCACCCTCTTTGCCAGTTCTCCAACATCAGATACCGAAGCGCACCGCTCACTCTGCGCACCAGGTTCTTCGGCCTAAACGAGCTCTTCTGGTGGTTCCAGCTCACACTCGCCATGCTAAGTGATCTGCTGTAGTTCATGTACGTATCTCTCTGTAAGAGTAGTTCTTCTAGTTGCCATAACTGGTCAATCAAGGACAAATCCGACAAGGGGTTATGTTAAAATATTATGTCTGTTCAATTAAGGTTGTCGGTATTACTTTTTTATCATGATTTAAGAGATTATCTTTTGCATGGATAGTTGCTACCTCGATGTATCCAAGGTTTTCAGGATCTAATTCTTCCATTATCAAGGAAGCGTATTCTTCAGCTCGTTCTTTTAGCTGGCCTAGCTTGTTTGCGGAAGCACTTAGCATTATGAGCTGTGATTTTTGAAGACAAAAGATTATTTAGATGATACGTTGGTTAAAATGTAACTTGTTCCATTTTCATAAGAAACCATAGATTTCATTAATTTATGGAAGTGAATATAAATGTAACTATTGAAAACTTGTTTATATATATATATATATATATAACTTTTTTCTCTTTTTTCTTTATAGATTATCACTATCTTTCCATATATTCTGACCTATAACTTAATGCACCATAGTCTTTTCTGCATTTACCTTCCCCAGTCCCCACCAAAAAAATATAAAACAACGTTATTCTCTCTCTTTTTTCATGCTAAAGAGATTTTTACTTCTTTATTTTTTAATGAATTTTTAATTCCTTTAGAAAAAAAAAGTAAAAAAGAAAAGAAAAAAAAAAGATGATGCTCGGTGAATTAAGTCAAGTATACAAGTCAAAACTAAAAATAAAAAATCACGTATTACAAGTTACGAGCAATCATCTCATAAGAAGTGGACTGAGGTAAATAATTAAAATTAGGCAAACAGCTAAGCCAAGACAAATTTGTTTTATTTTTTATATTCTAGACAAATTCTTTAGAAAGGTCGTGCCGTCATGTAAGTTAGGTGAGAGTGAGACTCCTTTTTATTTGGCCAAAAAATAAAATTTTAAAAACCGGGATTTCTACTCTTAGAATAAAATAAAAAATAAAAAATAAAAAAATAAAACTTTTTTTAACATTCAAAAGAGCAAAAAAAAATCTTGCCTCCTGAACTTCATCCCTCGTGATTCTTCCATCTTCATTACTATCAGCCCTGAAAATGAAAAAAATAATAATAATAATTAAAAATCAGTTCAATGAATAATTCTAATAACTCCAAGGGAAAACTTTCTATATCCAAGGACTTCATGCTTTGATTTCTCCAGGTGAAAACGATCATCTTCTTCCTTGTCAAAAGCCATCAACATTAGTAGGTACAACTACGTAGAGAAAAAAAATGAAAAAGCTTCCCTATTGAATAAGAAATGAAAAAAGAAAATTATTGACGATTCATCGTCTATCACCGTTGATATGTTAGAAATGCAATCGAACGGCTGTGAGAAAACGGGAGAAAAAACCAAAACAGAAAAGAAATTAAAAAAAGCTCACATTTCAAAGAAAATCTGAAGGCGCGCGTCGAAACTCTGGTCAGAAATCTGCAACCAAAAGTCGTGAAGCTCTTCCTTGGTGATCTTATCAATCTTCTGTCTTCTTCTTCTCGCCAATGTGTCGAATATTCCCACCGCGAACTCCTTCGAATCCGTCATTCCTTCCACGAACGAACAAATAATATCAATAATCTCGACATAGTTTCTCTCCTGATTTTCTCGGGAACCAAACGGAAAAAAAAAGAACTGCAATTTTTTTTTGTTACCTATGCATTCGCCGAAGTCTTCTCTCGAAAGCAAACCGTTCTGCGCGAGCGAGTCGAACTTGGACGCCACCTGCCGCCATATCACCTCGGCGTCGTTCGCGCCGGCCTTCGTCGTCTTGTTGATGAATCTTAATCCGTTGAGCGCTCGCTGCGCACTCGATCTCGTCCGTCGAAGCTTCGCGTTGATTCTCCTCGCGTCACGAGCTGAAATCGCAGCCGCCGCCGCAGATGCCGACGCTGCGACCTCCTCAGTCTCCGACGACGCCCTCGACGACGCCGATCTCAGCCACGGGATCTTCTTCCTAATGCTCTTCGACACATTGGACAAGCTCCTTCCTAAGATTCCGCCGGCGGCGGCCGGAGACGAAGAACAGTCGCCGGCGGCGGGTCGGGGAGTGTTTCCGGTCGGCGCGACGCTGCAGACGACAATGGAGTCGTCTTCGAGCTCCAGAGTGACTTCTACCAGGTCCTGCTTGTTGTTCTGCCTCAGGTCGTTGAGGAAGACGGACAACATTGCGCCTCCAACTCCATAGCTGTGATCATCTCGTTGATGGTGATCTTCCGGTTCAAGGTCCTCTGGTAATTCGAATCCGCGGCTGTAATTCGACCGCTTCGAGCTGCTTCTTCCGAACGACGACGGTGAGGATTTCATGTCTTTCTGTTTATTGTTTATGTTCAAAAAAAAAAAAGGAATAAGAAGAAGAAAAACAAAGAGAGAGAGAGAGAGAGAGAGAAAGATTGTGTATAATTTTTATTTATCTCTCTGTGGGTTTTCTGATATACATTTTGTCTGAAATGCAGAGGATAGGCAAACAAAACTGAAGCCTAGGCCAACACGTTTAGGCTAAATGGTCACAATAATAAATTAAAAAAATGAAAATGAAAATAAAAAACAAGACAAACGCTTCTCAACCGATCCTCCCACACAAATTCAACGCTTTGTGCAAAGTCGTGCTCTTTCTCTTTCTCTTTGAGTAGTTGAGGTTTGGCTTATAAAATGAAAGCAAAAAAAAAAAAAAAAAACTCACTTTACTATGCTGGGAGTTTCATTGGTGGGATTAAAAAAGTGAATTATCCGTAGTCTTCAATCGTTAAATTTACATAAAAATTATACGTTCTTTGTACTTTTTTAATTTTATGTGATTTTAACTAAATTTAACGATTAAAAACTGATCTTACCAGTATGTTAGTTGAGTACCCGTATGTTAGGTAGTATTGAAATGTTGACATGGTATTTTTAAAAACTTCATTTTGATGTCTTGAGGCTTTTATTGGGACACAAAATGTAATTTTACTTTTTTTATTTACTTATTTTTACTATAAAAAAAAAGTTCTCAAATTCCATTTTCATATCTCCACCCGTCCAATCCAAATTTGGCTCACTTGTACTTTTTTTCTCCTATCTTTTTTTCTATTTCCTATAATTAATGTAAAGTGATATAATATATTACTCCATATTAATTAAAATATTTTAATTAACGTAACATGACATCATTAAAAAGATATGGAAAGTAGCACAAAAATGGAATCCCCCCAGCACCCTCTCCCATTGGCACCTAAAGCACCATACCGCGTCGGTACCCAACCCCCTTTTAATATATTTAAAAATACAGGGCATAACAACAACTTTTCTCAAAACTCACATAATTTCAAAGTTAGTTTTCTTCCTAAAATGAAATTCCTTTGGAATTATTAGATAACAATTTCGATTGTAACCTGTAAAGCCCAAAGTCCATAATCTTATAGAAAAAAGATTTAATATATTATTGTCCTCCAAATTCAAGATATATATATATACATATATATAGATATATAGATATATATATATATATATATATTCCAACAACGACGCTTTCTTGTTCGAAAGATCACTATTTTTGTTGTGTGCGTAAAAAGATCAGCTGAGAGACTTGTCTGTGTTACATAGAAGATCAAGAGCTGGCCATGCCTAACAAATACATACATATATATATATATATACACACATACATACATATAAATATCCATTTATGCACGTTCTTGTGCATATTAACTTTATATATTATATATGTATATCATATTGATATTTTTAATAAAATAAAATATATATGTGGGGAATAGGTCAAATGCGTACGTTGAGATATGAGAAATGGAAAATCCGGCGGTATCTGATCAGTTTCATATTTTGAGTTCTCCTCCGCGATTCTCCACCCACTGAAAGGTTGTCGTTTTTGGCTAACCGGCGGCATTTCCATTTTGCTTTTTGAAAATGTTATTGCAGCCAGAAAAAGGTTAAAAATATGTTCTCAATTCTCATAGTTAATTGCCTCAAGTAAAAATACGTCAGACGTAGTTCAAGTTACTATTTAATATTATTCTAAAAAGAAGTTACAATTTAATATCATATGTAAATAGTGCATTTAATAATATTGTAGTTTTTGTAAGAGTAGTGTGTTTTTTTATAAGACAACACAATTCGAAACCTGTACATATTAAATTTGAGCTTATTATGAAGTAATTCAATTGGTAATTAATTGCGAGTTGATCTTTTAAAGTATAAATCTTAACGTCCCAACTGCAGGTTGTAGTACACAACAACTTTTGTTATATTCTGAATTATGCATAATTTAGCCTAAAACATAAGTTTTTGAACTATTCATGCACGCAGGTTGATGGATCAAGACGGGTTAATGCTAAATGATTATGACTAGCCATTTAATTTAGCCTAAAACATAAGTTTTCGAGTTAATAATTTCATAATGTTTTAATATCTCGCTAAGAATATTAAGTAAGCCGTGTTCAAGTATATAAATACGACGTTAAGTATTAAGATTGGTAGCATCAACTTGATACGCTAACAGAAATTATCACCTTTAAGCTATATACAATAGTTGTTTAATTCTAACTTCTCTTAGTTTATGATACATTATGGGTTTTCAATAAAAATAACCGTATCATATGTCTCGTGTGACATTTTTCTTGATGTGTATTCAACTGTAATGATACAGAGCTTGTAAATTCAATTTGCAAATCTCATGAAATTAGTTCTTTGTATTTTTGTAAAGATTTTCTTATGCCATAAACTCGTTGGGTAACAAAATTATTTGTAAACTTTGGCACTTTTAAAATTTAAAAAAAAAAAAAAAAAACAAGGGAGAGTGAAGTAAATCCTCCGCTCAAATTTATTAAAAAGATCAAGGAGAATAAAATAATAATATAAAGGAAATTTCCTCAATTTGGTGGCCATGTCATGGACAAATGTCACATTTTTATTTTTTAATATAACAATATGATTTGTACATTGGTATAACACTCATTTTGTTCAAGTACTATAACACTTGATAAAATATAATTTTCTGTCATGTTACATTACATTTACTTCAAAGTTGTAGTATAACACAAACAATTTATAAGTCCATATGAAAACCGTTACACTTTTTTATCGTACGGCTGCTGGACTTAAGACAATACTTAAAAATATGATCGCTTAAAGAAAGTTAACCACGATCTATAGCTGATAATGAGGTATTAGTTAACGTAATTGACGTGCATCAGGGATGAGATTGGCACTACCAGGGAATGTTTAGGGAAAAATATTACATTGATTATGAGTACAAGTAGTCGTTGTTACATAGTACTCCAAGTTGACACGAAAATGTGTTTATGTCACATTTCAAAGGGAAAAAGGAAATTATTATAAGTCTTCTTGTCGTATTTCAATATAAAACTAATGAACATAAGAAATATATATTTGAATCTAACTTTCAACTGGATAGAAGGGCAAGCAAGTAAATTACATATCACGCCAGCCTAAATTCAACTGTACCAATTAGGTAAGATAACAGTTAATAACACCATTCACTAACAAACAAAATGTCATTTATCTAAACATAATAAAATAAGTCATGTTTGATTTTTGTTTGTCAAACCAGAATTTTCCACAAATACCATACAGCTTCTAATTATTTTTTTACACGCATGAAATTGAACAACATAAACCCAAAACGTTTGTAATTAACAAACCCATATGTGAGTATTCTAGCAAATAACAAATCTAGACTGAATCTTTGAATTAGAAAGTCGAACCGGTTATCTAAAGGCATATCCTTGTGATGGAATTGTAGATATAAGACATAAAATAGTAATCATGAAAAGAGACTTTCTTTTGTTTTTGCTTGTAAGCTAGTATATATATAATACACACACATACATGTATGTATGTATGTATGTATGTATGTATGCATACTCCGTATGTAAAGACAAACGGATCTCACATATTCGTATCATATATCTAATTTTTGGTGTTATAAATGACATCTAACAAATCAGAAATTATCATGTTGATTTCAATATTAAAGTACGGTAAAAAAGTTAGTTAAAAATATGTTAAAATTTTTAAACGAGGTGACGTGATTTAATTGGTTATACACTAATTTAAACATTAAAATTTAACAGGTGATCTGAAGTTCATAATGCACTGATTTGATCAATTTCGTATAATTTCTTTATTGATAATATTATAAATCAATCTTTTATTTAACATTCCGGAAACCCACCAATATCTGCTGGTTCAGTAGGATCATATATAGCTAGCAAGCATGCACGTCAATGTTTTTATCGAACAATAAATCTTTTTCAAAATATTTTGTTTTCTTATATAAGTAGCTCTTCAAATCGATTGTGTTATAGAGGGAGAAGTCATTAAGCAGCTATATCACTAAGATTATTAACATACTGAGAAATATTGACGTTACTCTTTCTGTCATTCTTTACATTCACTGTTTGATACGTAAATTTTATTATCTCATTTTCTGTTTAAATAATAATATATCATATTAGTAGAGTTCACGTATCAAACAGTGAATGTAAAAACTGATAAAAAGAGTGATGTTAGCATTTGTTATATATACATGGAATATACTGAGGCCGCATTAGGGGTTTTAGTATATTATTTCAGTAAATTTGTTTGGTAGACCTTACATGCACGCTGTATAATTTGTAACCAAAAACTATACACAAACTATATCATTATATCTATAATATGAATACTATAGAAATTATCATTTTATATTTATTAGCATATCTTATGTGTCAAAAAGAAGAAACCGTGTCGATATCATTTACTTAAGTTCAAGTAGTATCAAGTCATGTATTCTACATATTTTAGATCTTAGGTCGTGTTTTCCACTCCTGTAAACAAAGCACATTCCCAGTTCAGATTAATTATATACGTATAGTATATACTGGCCATATGATGGTCTTTATATGTACGCGTATCTCTTAAAATTAAACTAACTTGAAGCGCCAAAAAAAAAAAAGGAAGAAGAAGGTAAAAATGAACGATTAATGTTCAAAAAGCAAAAAAAAATCAAAGTTTTATTAAAAATTTGTCTCTATATGATGCGAAAATTAAGTCAATAAAATCAATAGAATTATTAACTACCTACACATGTATATCTACATGCAGCCAATCCTCTAGTAGAAATAGTACATACAACAACGGTTTTTAAACGACATTAATTTGAAACCTATTATGAGTCCAATTTAATTGTTTCGATCCAAAATGTAATAAATAGATCTTTTATGAAACACTTTTTCAATTTCATCATATGAAATTGGCTACATAGAGTAATTTTAGAAGAGAAAATAATTCAAAAACTACTCTTTTATTTA